TTCCCTTTTTCCTGTTTTACCTCCTTATTTCCCAATGTATCCTCATCGGCTCTGGCATATTTCTCAATTCTGGCCATGAGCTCTTCCATGCTTTTTGGCAAAGTTTTTGCCAAAGACTTCCGTAGTGGACAATTGTCTTTCAGGCCGTTCTTAAATGACATGACCGCTACTTCTTGGTTGCAGTCAGGTATTCGATTGAACACCTCGTAGTACCTTTTTGCATAGGCCCTAAGGCCTTCGTCCTTGGCGATCTTTAAAGCCATCAGTGCGTCGACCTTCAAGGGTTGAGTTTATTTGTCACAAACCTGGCCACAAACATCTCGGCCAGGCCTTCCCAAGTCTTTACGCTTCCCTTTGGTAGTTTATGGAACCAATCTGATGCAATTTCCCCAAAGGACGAGGGGAACACTTTGCAGAGCAACGGCTCGTTCCCACTATATAATGCCATCGAATTCAGATATAGACCGACGTAGAAGTTGGGATCTGTCTTACCATCATATATTTGGAACCTCGGCATACTGAATCGCTTAGGTGCTTGAAATTTGTCCAGTTCCACCGAGAATGGTGTTCTCGGCTTAACCGGGGAAGTTACCACGGCTTCAGCATTCTGTTGCCTCCTCTTGAGGTAATCTCTCAAGTCTTCTTTACTCCTTCCTGGACCTCGGCTATCTCTGGATTTCAATCTCTTCGGCACACTACTTTCAGCCTCGTGGTGGGCTCGTTTTGATCTCTCTCCATGTGTTTTGTCAAAGCAAAGCGCCTGCCCTTGAACATGCCGATGTTCTTTGGGCTCTGGATCCTTCATGTGATACGTTCTTTGGGACTCCTCTCGTCTCGGCTCCTCTTGTCCGCCTTCCCTGGTAGGTCGGTGAGAGTGCCTTCCGCTCCTGGTGTGCTGAGGGACTTCGGGAATTGTTCTTCTTCCTCCCTTCTGGGTGTTAGTTGCTAGCATTGGCGTATCCTGCAGCGGGTATGGTGGCTGCATGACATTGTTTTGCATCATGAAGTTGACCACTGACTGTAGGTCTGCCAACTTGTTTGCCAAGTCTTTTACTTCCTCATCTCTCCGTAGGCACCTATCCCTCCATACCTGAAGGTTATCTTCATTATAATACTTGCTTTGGTCTGTCCTCTTCGAAGCGTCGCCCTCCTGGCCGACGTCTTTCTCTCAATGGCCCTAGTCATGATTTTCTGTACTGTGGTTGTCTCCTTCAACGTCAAGGTTAATTGGTTTGCCACTCCCAGTAGGAGTGTCGCCCCCAATATTTTCCCTCTGTCCGTTATTGGCCATCTATTCTTCTAAGCTTCCCACAGACGGCGCCAAATTGTGTGGGTGAAAATCTGACCACACTGCCCGCCTAGTAATCAGCTGGAGAGCACCGGTAGAATAAATGGCTTTAGCAAACCTGTAACAGAAAGAAAAGGGCTCCGGCGGTGGCTCTTCTACCCGGGGGCACTCCGACGATCAAGTCAGTATATCTCTCAAAGATAATCAAGTGCTAAACTTATTGCTCAAAACATAATTTGCGTACCTTAGACCCACGGGGGTGCCTCTCTTTTATAGTTTACTTAATCCAAGTCCCACTAGAAGCCTGACTTCTATGAACTCCAATTCAATACTGACTTTGGACTCTTCAAGAGATAAAGATAAACTCCCTAAGAGTTTTATCCTGATCTTGGCTAAGTCTTCTCTTTACTCTAGGACTCTTGTCCCTTATCCGCTTATCTCGGATTCCGATATCTTCGGAGATCACCTCGGCCTCGCCAAAGATAATCTCGGCATAACTACCATGACACGTGGCACCTCGGCTGACACGTCGGCGTCACCATGCCACGTGTTGGTACTTAGAAAATATATCCCCACACTTTGATAAAATTTTTACTATCATTACCAATACTAAACCATCATTCCACAAACACACAATACATTTAAAAAGTTATTAAAAAAAAATTTATTATCAAAATAATGTACAAATAGATAATTTGATTACACTTAAAAAAGTATAAAATTTCTTTGAAAAAAATATAAATTCAATACATTTTCATACATTTTTATATTTATTAATTTTTTTGTATTTCTTTAAAATATTTTACTTTATATATATTTAGATAAGGTGTATCTAAAAATAAAAATTCATTAAAAATAATAGAATACGACCAACAAAGAAAAAAAAAATTCAAAAAATACTTTTAAAAACTAAAGCCTAGTTTGTTAATAGGCTATTTTAATCAAAAAAATTAAAAAATTATTACAAATTGTCACATTCATTTCTCTACTTTTTTGTATGTGTTTTTGTAAAAATTAAAAAAAACTCTATAAAAAAAAATCAATTACCAAATGAGCCCTAAAAACAAAACGAGCGAATTTCTTTTCTTTCAATATGCATTGACTTTTGTTTTCATATGAGAAGTTCTTTCAATTCAAATTACTTTTCAAATATGCAGCCTCATGTTCTACCTAGTCTCTCCTATTTGGCTTAAGTTTTTTTTTCACTTTGGTTTTCAAGGTATGTTCAAAAATTTGCTAATAAGGTGTACGGTCATGACATAAAAACCTAACTTGCAATTGTAATGTACTGTTTAGGACATTTATAAACAGTACCATGATAAGACTTGTTTATTAAAGCTCTTGCTCAGTGTAAAAAAAAACATAAATAAGTATAATTCAACTACTTACAGTTTTTATATCATATTTCAATATAAATTAATACAAATAAATTAAAGAAAAATTTACTTATAAATCTAGTCTTGAAGAAAGGTGATTCGTTTAGTCCTAAGAATTTTTTTATAAACCAATTAGTCCCATTGATTTTGGAAATGTAGATTTAATATATTATTTAGAAATCAGGTTTACGTTATATGGGATTGGGGATGCTGTTGCGCAGGGCGCACAGCAGCATCTGTTGTACGGTGAAATAGGCCTATTTCGGGGCCTATTTTGATAATCCAAACCGTTCATATTTTAGAATACATCAAGTAGAACATGCCTGCAAAAAATCAATATAATCGGATATCATTTACTCATTTATCCACTCACATTTCTATCTACAAAAATAAATAATAATTGTGGTTTAAAGTATTAAAATGAATACAAATGTAAGTGGATGAATAGGTAAATGATATCCGATTAACTTGATTTTATGTAAACATGTTCTACTTGATGTATTCTAAAATGTGAACGGTTCGGATTATCAAAATAGGTCCCGAAATGGGCCTGGCCTATTTCGCCTCACAACAGATGCTGTTGCGCATCCGCGCAACAGCATCTCCAAATTCATGTTACACTCTTATTTCTATTATATTTCCTCCTTTTTTTTTTTTTTTTTTTTTTGTGCTACAAAGGTAAGATACACAACTTATGAGAATCAAATTTGGGATGAATTTTTATATGAAAATCTTTTTTTATTTGGAATGACTTGAAATGTGATATTTTTTAAACATTAATTCCAAAAGGAATACAAAATAACTTGAAATATAAAATTTTTCAAACATTCCAAAAAAAAATGTGAGATTCTTCTAATATTTCAAAAGGAGTACAAACGTATGATTTCAAACTGTAACACTCTAATGTAGCATACTAAAAAAATTTCTTTGTGTACTTTTTTCAAACGTAACACTCTAATGTAACACATAAAAATAAAATAAAAAAACACCTTAGTGTAACATTCCAATGTAACATACAAAAAAACTTTTTAGTGTATTTTTTCAAAACATAACACTCTAATGTAACATTCCAAAAAAAAAAAGATGTGAGATTCTTCAAATCATTCCAAAAAGAGTACAAAAATTCCTTAGTAAACTTTGGACAAATATATAATTTCAAACTGTGAGTTTTACATTTGAGAATAATACACTAAAGAGTTTTTTAGTATTTTTGTGTGTGTTTTACATTGGTGTGTTATGTTTGAAATTACACTAATTGGAGTGTTACATTTGCAAAAAGAATACTAAGGTATTTTTTGTGTATTACATTAGAGTGTTATATTTATTGGAGTGATACGTTTAGGAAAAGTGCACTAAGAATTTTTTTTTATATTACAATAGAGTGTTATATTTAGAAAAAGTACACTAAGGAGTTTTTTTTTAACGAGTTTTTTTTTTTAGTGTTACATTGTTATATTTGGGAAAAGTACACTGAGAAATTTTTAGTGTGTTACATTAGAGTATTTCATTCTTATTTGTAATATGGGACTTGTTCCAAAAATAGAAAAATTCAAAACCTCTATCGTGTGGATTGCCCAAATGTATTAATTCACCGTATTATCGAAATCGACCAAAGTATATACGCTACACACCAATTTAATTAAAGGATGTTTACATAATCTTTCCCATACAAACAATTCCTTTTCTTTCCTTTTTAACTTATCATTTACCCAATCATTTTTTTTTTCTTTCTAAGTTGCCAAACATAAATCCGAAAGTGTGATGGTGATGTGGTTGGTGGTGGGAGTGAAAAACAGCGGACCGATGCGGACTAATGGAGGAGATTAGTGGTGTGTCGCCGCCCTTGTGTGACTTTCCTCGGAAGGCGACAAGATTAGGGTTGTCAAATGTTGTGATGCTTGTCGGTGGATTGAAAGTAGGGATGGCAATTTGAAACCGGCCCGACGGGGACCCGACCCCTCAACCTCGAATGGGACGGTTTTTCCCCGAAAAAAACTCCCCACGAACTGGGGATGATATTAAAAAATAAACCCCCGATCATTTTCGGACCGGGGACGGGGATAGATTTCCCAACCTTGGCCCCGGCCCCGGCCCGAGTACTCCCCGTATATATCCCCGAATATATATTCCGCATATATATGTGTTTAGGTTATTTTAAGACTCATTTCACTTCTCTCTCCCACTTACACTCTCTCTTCTCTAGGCCTCTCTCTCCCTCTCTCTGCTGCGATGCTCACGGCGATGGCGTCGGCCGCTCCTTCTCTCTCCCTCACGGCATCACTCCTCCCTCTCTTCTCTCGGCCTCTCTCCCTCTCTTTGCTGCGATGCTCACGGCGATGGCGTCGGCCGCATCTGAGTGTTGTGTTGTTGAATCTGTTATTAAATCTGAGTGTTGTGTTGTTGAATCTGTTATTAAATCTGAGTGTTGTGTTGTTGAATCTGTTATTAAATCTGAGTGTTGTGTTGTTGAATCTGTTATTAAATCTGAGTGTTGTGTTGTTGAATCTGTTATTAAATCTGAGTGTTGTGTTGTTGAATCTGTTATTAAATCTGAGTGTTGTGTTGTTGAATCTGTTATTAAATCTGAGTGTTGTGTTGTTGAATCTGTTATTAAATCTGAGTGTTGTGTTGTTGAATCTGTTATTAAATCTGAGTGTTGTGTTGTTGAATCTGTTATTAAATCTGAGTGTTGTGTTGTTAAATCCGTTGTTGTTCTGTTGTGTTGTTGAATCTGTTGTTGAATTTGTTAATGAAGCTCTTTTTCTTTTTTTTTTGGCCGGGGACTCTTCGGGGTCGGGGGAAGCCGATCCCCGTTAGGGGACGGGGGCGGGGGTGGTGACAGGTTCCCCGTCGGGGATCGGGGTCGGGGATCGGGGAAATTTCACCGTCGGGGATCGGGGACGGGGAGGGCAATCCCCGGCCACGCCCCGCCCCGCCCCGTTGCCATTCCTAATTGAAAGGTCTGATTACTAGTCCTATATGAGAGAGGAAAGTTAGGATAGAGAAGGAAAAATTGATGAGAAATTTAAAAAATTTCGAGTAAAATATCTAAATTTTATATCATTTCTATAATTTGCTATGGAAGATAATATGCATTTATATAAAAAAAAATTTCCAAAAATCGAAATTTTTTGGTAGCATTTAGTAGAGTTTTCTAAATATAATTTAAAAATAAAATTTGTATTTTGAGTTTGTGAGTTTTGGAATTATGATTTGAGTGTAGAAAATTTGTTTGGTGAATGAGTTTTGAATTGAGTGGAGAATTTTTGATGTGACATATGATATTTGATACAAAAACTTGTAACTCATAACCAAATACACAATTCAAATTTCTATTCAAAACTCGTAAATTTTTTTTAAAAATTCCGAATTTTTTTCATTGAAAATATAAAAAATAATATGTGCCACTTGTATAAAAAAAAAATTGCACAGTTTCAATCAACCGGCTGGACATTCGGGAGGATGACTGGCCAGACGTCTGGAGGACGACAAGTTAACACTACAACAAAATGCACCTTTGGTGACCAAAATTGGCGACTAAAAAAAATTTAGTCGCCAAAAGTTATGGAATTGGCGACTAACATTTTTTTAGTCGCCAAAAGTAAAATATTTAGCTACTAATTTTTTTTAGTCAGGATATATTCATTATTGGCGACTAAAAAAAATTTAGTCGCTAAAAATGCCAAAATTGGCGACAAAAAAAAAATCGATGTATATTGACTTTTGGCTACTAAAATATTTAGTCGCCGAATGGAAAATAAAAAAATTATTTTTTCTCTTTGGCAACTAAAGTTTTAGTCGCCAAAAACTTGTTTTCAGCGACAAAAAAAATTTAGTCGTTGTATATTGATTTTTGGCTACTAAAATATTTAGTCGCCGAATGGAAAATAAAAAAATTATTTTTTCTCTTTAGCGACTAAAGTTTTAGTCGCCAAGAACTTATTTTCAGCGACAAAAAATTACTTTCGTCGCTGTATATTGACTTTTGGCTACTAAAATATTTAGTTGCCAAATGGAAAATAAAAAAATTATTTTTTCTCTTTGGCGACTAAAGTTTTAGTTGCCAAAAACTTACTTTCAGCGACAAAAATGCATTTTAGTCGCCTTTAGCTGACTTTTTCCGACTAAAATGTTTAGTCAGCAATTGTAATTAAAATTTTCAAAGAAAGATTTTGAGTTTTTGGCGGGCTCCTTAATTAACGACGAAGCTATATTTTAGTCGGGGAAAATAAGTTAAACAAGGATGTAAAATGATTGGCTAAGATCGATCACTTGAAGAACCAACGGATGGACATAAAATATTAGGGTAGGTGAAGAGAAGAAGAGAATATGAAGGGGGCGAAGGAGTCTCGCTCCGTCGCCATCCCGCCGCCGCTCCTCCTCACGTTCGCCGGCAACCGGAGCACCTCCTCCTCCTCCGCCATCGCCATCGTGACTGCTGCGATCACCACTGCCGTCGCTACCACCTCCGTCGCTGCCCTCTTTTCACGCCGCCGCCTCCCCTTCCTCCGCTGATCTTCTCAGATCCACCGCTACCGCTGCGAGATTCAGAGGCTTCATCGCTGAGAAGAGACTCCATTGATGCTCCGTCTCGCGTATGCTCTCTCTCTCTCTCTCTATATCTATATGTTTCACTAGCAGATTTTTTTTTTAACAAATTATGCGAAACATGACCTTACCTTACCAATTTATTTAACAAATTCAATGGGCAGTGATGACTCCAGTGATAATGGGAAGCTTACCTAACCACTGTTTTAACGTAACGGGAAGCTTTGCGGTGACAAATGCGACATGTAGGGACAAACGGTAAGTAAATAGGACACATACGTTGATCGTTAGAGTTGAAAATGTCATTAATTTAGTCGAAGAAAGGGGTTCGGGGGGCGAAAATGGAAAACAGCCCCCGAACCACTATTTTAACGTAACGGGAAGCTTCTCGGTGACAAATGTGACATGTAGGGACAGACGGTACGTAAATAGGACACATACGTTGTGAGTTAGAGTCGAAAATGTCATTAATTTAGTCGAAACCACTGTTTTTACATAACGGGAAGCTTCCCGATGCCAATGTGACATGTAGGGACATACGGTACGTAAATAGGACACATACGTTGTGAGTTAGAGTTGAAAATGTCATTAATTTAGTCGAAAAAAGGAGTTCGGGGGGCGAAAATGCAAAACAGCCCCCGAACCACTTTTTTTACGTAACGGAAAGCTTCCCGATGACAAATGTGACATGTAGGGACAGATGGTGCGTAAATAGGACACATACGTTGGGCGTTAGAGTTGAAAATGTAATACTAATTTAGTCGAGAAAAGGCGTTCGCCGGGGGGGAATCCAAAACAGCCCCCAAACCACTATTTTTACATAACGGGAAGCTTCCTGGTACCAAATGTGACATGTAGGGATAGATGGTACGTAAATAAAACACATACGTTGGGAGTTACAGTTGAAAATATCATTAATTTAGTCGAAAAAAGGGGTTCGGGGGGCGAAAATGGAAAACAGCTCCCGAACCACTATTTTTACGTAACGGGAAGATTCTCGGTGACAAATGCAACATGTAGGGACAGATGGTACGTACATAGGACACATACGTTGGGAGTTAGAGTTGAAAATGTCATAAATTTAGTCAGAAAAAGGCGTTGGGGGGGCGAAAATGCAAAACAGTCCCCGAACCACTGTTTTTACGTAACAGAAAGCTTCCCGGTGCCAAAAGTGACATGTAGGGATAGACGGTACGTAAATATGACACCTCTGTTGGGAGTTAGAGTTGAAAATGTCATAAAAATAGTTGAAAAAAGCGTTTGGGGGGCGACAATGTGTTTATGTGGTAGAACATGAAATGCCCATGTCGTGGGTAACTATTTTGGTTAAACCATCTTAAACTATACTTTGTTTAACTCTTTCTTTATTAGTTTATGTTGAACAATATTTTTGGTAAACTGTTTAGTGTTTTTGTTGACTATGTCCCTTTAATTGCCATAAACATAACTTTTGGCATTAATTCATAGAATCGATGCTCGTCTACCGGTCCATGTTTGGGTGTCTTTCATTATTTAATAGCTATTACTCTCCTTGTCTTTTAATGTTTGAAATTAAGATAGTTGCTATATGTCGTCCAGAAGTGCCTCTATAGGCACCAAACTAATGAATTTTTTTATTATTATTATTTATTTATTTATTTTTTTGCAGTTGGTTTTGGACACTCAAATGTGGATATGATTTTTTTTGACAAGTACGGGAGGGCATTGTTTTTATACCTCTATCCGTATATATAGCGGTTCGTACAAATTACTTTTTTGGTGTGATAAATATCAGCTAATTTGGCATGGTAGAAATTAGCATAGCACGTGGTACAAAATACTTTTGGGGCAGTACAGATTAAATTTTTGTTGTGGTACATATGTCCTTTTTGATAATTAATTTGGTTATTCCTGTATTATGTATGGAATTAAATTATTGACATTGGATTAGACTTGGTTCGTATGGAATTTGTATTATATATAGAATTGGACATTCAATATTAATTTTTTGGATGGTTGGAAGTGAAATGTGTGCACGTTGTTGAATGGTTGATAATATATTTAGCGTTGATGGATTATATTGTTTATACAGGGTACAGGTTGTACTAATAATGGACACAGGTTGTACAGATTTCAATATTAGTTTTTTGGTATGGTACAGATTTCCTCTATTATGTATATTTTGAAATTATTGAGATTGGAATGTACTTGGGTCGTATGGAATTTGTATTACATATGTCGAATGGAATTTTTTGCGTGTACGTTGTCGAATGGTTGATAATATATATTTAGTATTGATGGATTTTATTGTTTATACATTGTATAGGTTGTATTAATAATGGATACCGGTGGTTCAGAAAAAATAAAAAATAAGAATTTATTTGTAATATAGTATTTGGCTACTAACTATTTTGGTAGCCAAAAACTATTTTCAAATGTTTTGGCCACTAATAATGTAGTAGCAAAATGAATAAAAGTTGGCATCCTTTGGCAACTAAATTCCATGGTTGTCAAATAGTTCAATTGGCGGCTAAAACTTTAGTCTCTAAATAGTTCAAATTAGCTTTGTTATAACTTTTGGCGACTAATATTTTGGTTGCCAAAAATATCACTTTTGCCGACTAACCCAACTTTAGTAGCCAAACGTTGACGTTTGGCGACCAATAATTTAGTAGCCAAATCTTTCACTTTCAGCGACTAAATACACATTTAGTCGCTAAAACAATCGCCGACAGGGTATAGGCGACGAACTTGGCGACAAAACTTTTTAGTCGCTAAATCGTTTCAGCGACCAAATATCGGACTTTTGGTGACCAATATTTTAGTAGCCAAAAGTGTCATTTCTTGTAGTGTGACCCAAATTTTTCTACCTTGGAAAGAGTTTTCAAAAGTGGATGTAGAATTAAACACCATGTGCAAATCAAAGAGGTAGAATTACATTTCTAAAAACTCTTCCAAACAGAGCCTTTATTTTTCTTTTTTTTGTTTTTACTGTTTTTTTTTTAACATTTTAAGTTTTTTATTTTTTATTTTTAGGTACACAAGTATAATATTTTTGATTTTTTTTTAAAAAAATTCACTAAATATAAAATATATTTAAAAAAATACAAAAATTTAATATATTTTTGTATTTTTGTGTATTTATTGATTTTTAAAATATTTTTATACAAATATTTTATTTTTGATGCATTTAAGTGAGGTC